TGCTGTGCTTGCTCAGCTGGGGAACCCTGGGCTAATCATGCAGCCCAGTGCTCTTGGTTTTCTCACCTGTGAAATGGGAGAGGTTAGTAATGCAGACTTCATAGAGATGTTATGAGGAGTCGATGACTTACTGCCTGGTAAATCCCTGAAAATAGTTCCTGGCATGAGTAAATGCTCAATAAATGTTAACGCTTAGTCATTAAATATTTATTGAGTACTTTCTATATGCCAAGTACAATATATGCCTTGGGATCTAATGGTGAGCAAAATTCCCTCATGTTGCTTGCAGCTAGGCATGCACACAGGTGCAGTAAGGTGGTGTAAATGCTACTGATGGGGAAGATGGGTGGGGGTTGGGGGGGGAAGCAGGACGTTGTTTTATTTCATTTTGCTTTCTCTCTGCCACTTGCGTGTGTGTGTTTAAGGAGAGCTGGTGTTGTCTCCTCTGCCCACAGTTTTGTCCCTAATACTCAGGAAGAAACTGGATGCCAGTGAGCCATTTGCTGGATGAATGAAGGAAGGAGGGGAGGAGGGAATGCTATTTTAGCAGAACTGGAACCATGAGGCATTAATGAAGCTGGGGAGTGAGAGAAGGGAAAGTATTAGGACCTCCTGGAGATGCTGTGGGTGCAGTGGGAGACCCCCGACCCAGAGAATATCACACTTCCGGGAGTCACACAAATTCTTTTGGTTCTCCAATGCATATAAAAGTTATAATGCAGTCCATTAAGTGTGCAGTAGCATTATGCTAAAAATTATACACGCCTTAATTAAAAATACTTTATTGCTACAAAATGAAAAAAGTAGTGAGCACATGCTATTGCGAAAATGGTGCCAGGGATTTGGCCACCGCCTGGTTACAAAAAATTTTCAATTTGTACAAAGCGTGATAAAATGAACCCGCCTCGCATGAGGGTGAGGTATACCTGCAGATTGGTCATCCCATCTTTTGAGCCAGTGAACTGGGTGTGAATCCTGGCTCCTCAGACCATCCTCTGAGGTCTTACCCTCTGGTCTGGGCCCTGTTTGTCATCTCTGAGATGGCAGCAAAGGGCACCTTCCCTCTGGCGTGACATGAACATGGGAGAAAGAACACCGGAGATGCCTCCCTCCCCTTGCACACAGGCAGCTCTTGCTGAAATTTTCTTTCCCCTTCCCATTCTTTGTGCCATTGGGCATCTCCTGTTGTTGAAGTGATGGTGAGATGGAGAAGTTTCTCCAGACTCTGGTCAGGATGCTTGAATCCCTCTTCCCTGAGGGTCTCCGAGGTGTCCATGTGGAGGAAATTGCAATCCAGCAGAGGCTAATTACTAGCTGGGATTGTGCCCCCTGTGCTTACAGCAGACTCACAGACCACTCATCCTCAGGCTTCTTAAACCACAGGACCCAGTAACCACCCAAGAGAGGAGAGAGCGAGAAAATGAAAGCGGGCGGGCACCCTTTTTAATGCCTAGGCAAGCTCCACCCACCAAGGCTGGGCCAATCAATACCTTGGAATCTGACCAATCAGGTCAGTTCTTTCCATTAGGTGCTGAACGGGGAGGAAGAGGAGCCCTGGGCTCCCCCTACAGGCCAATACGTGGCATGAACAGGTGTTTCTTTCTAGGCAGGCTTGAGGTACTCGTTTCTCAACCTCAAGGTGAATGCCCAAAACGTCTTCAGTGACTGAGGATAGCATTTTCATGCAGCAGAATTCACTTTATTGAACTTACAATAGGTGGGCTCCCTGGTGGTGCAAGGGGTTAACTCTCAGCACCATGAAGCTCTCCGCAGTAACTGCAGCCTGAGTTCCATCTCCAGCCAGGGAGCTGACCCACAGGGTGCAACAGACCTCTCCTGTCACCCCCGCTGCTCCCCTCAGCAGTGTGTTTCAGTAGATCCACCTTTTCTGCTCCCCACTTTGTCTCGGATAAATCCTCTCACCGCTACCTCCTACCCCGTACCTCTAACCTGTATCCCCGTTCTTCTACATAAAAATAAATATTCTTTTAAAAAGTACAGTAGGATTCACCATAGTTGATAGAACATTGCAGTCACCCCAAAATTCCTGCATGCTTCTCCTTTGATGTCAGTCCCTCTCTCACACCCAAAAACTCTTAGCCACTCACCTGACTTCTGTCCCATGGATTTGCCTTTCCAGAATGTCCTTTAAGTAGAACTGTGTGTCGTCTAGCCTGTGATGGACATAGAATCAAGAAGCGTGTGTTTGAAATCAAATCTTTCTTTGATGACATAAGGCTTTTGAGAGTCCTGAATG